TCATAAATATAAATCTGTGGATGTGTTTTAACTGCATTTGTCACATATCTTGCTATAGCTATGGAAATAGAAAAGTTTATAGAAAAAAGAACTGCAGGTAACTACTGTGTGGTTGGGAAGGGTGGGTACCTGAGCCATCTTGCTGTCTCGTGACCCAGAGAACAAGTAGGCTACGTGTTGATGCATTTGCTGTATGTGAGAAATAATTTTAGCACCAAGCCAGATTCCAATTAAATTTAAAGTTTATTAAACGAACAAAGGCAAGCAAACAGCGCTGGGTGCGCCCGGAGACTGCTCAGCCAAGACGCACACCATACAGCCCCTGTCTGCGGCTTTTATTGTCCCTGCTAATACGTATCCATTAACAGGTGGGTCTATCTAAATTAACTCCAAAAATAGGTAGGTCTTCTTTGAAGCATGTTCTTTTCACCTCTTGGGGTCGTCTTCGCTCCCACCTGGTGGTCGCTGGATGTAGTTAATAATCTTCCTCGGCTCCCCGTTTAAGGACTTCAGGTTCCATGGATGCGCTTTACAAACTCCCCTTTGTTTAACATTAAGCGGCCATTAACAGAATCGATATAAGCCAGCACAGCAACAGCCAAGTGACAACAAACAAGAAACCAGAACTAATCACCCTGCTTTTTCTCCAGGCTCGTAGCTATACAAAACCAACAGAACCACACCTCACCATGCTGCCCAATATGATTTTATTTTGACACGAATCAAGTGAATCTATTTCACGCTTTATTTATCTGTACTGATTAGTACTATGCCTGTAATTTGGAAATGGATATTTTATGCTTGTAATGCTAAAATAGGATTTGTGGGAACACTTGTATAAAAAAAAGTGAACTCTCCATTGTGGAATCCATACCAAATATCAGATTTCTGTAACAGAGAAAAGGAAGGACATCACTTTAATAACCAAAGATTTCTTTCCAAAGCCATAGATACATATATATATTTAAAAAAACAGGTTTAGTTAGTGATTGTACAATGATAGTATTTAAAGATCTAGGTCAAAGAAGGGCAATTACTATAATAAATGCTATAGTGGTCTTACTATACCTTAGTAAAAGAGAAATCTTTGATTCCTGATACTGCTGGAAAATGGCTATTTTGTTACGTAAGGACTACATCATACAATATATGCAAAAATAATTAAAGTGAGTTTGTATAGGCAGACATTTTTTAAATCAGTGAGCATATGACTTCTTAATGTTACTATTCATTAAATTGGTGGGTTTGGTTTTTCATACCATGCCGAGTACTTGATAGCAAACCCAAACAATCAATAGCTTCAACTTGCTCATTATTAATGTACAGATAAATTCCTACCTCCAGAAAAAAATACATAAGCCTCTGTACATTCCTCTTCATTCTCAAAGTGGTTTCCATTTCCATCACAGCCACCATACCAAAACTGAACACAAGCATTGGCTTGTTTATCATAATACTCTTTGATGATATAAACACGACATGGCCCTCCGTCCAGCCTGAACTTGCACCGGAGTTACTGGATACTTTCTAAGGTAAAGAAGGAATAGAAACAATTCTGTTTGTAAAAGTCAATTGTATTGCATAGATTTTAACTTTTATACTCTGATTTTTTTTTCTGCTAATGTTATGCATCAATTTAAGATTCACTTTTACTTTCAAAGATGTTAGCATTAAAGGCATATTAAAAGTACATCTTAGTAGGTCAAGTATACTGTTCTTTTACTGACATGGTTTTAGTAACTCCAGATATAGTAGTATTATGGCTCCACATACAAGACAAATGAACAGTATGAATCTGATAAATTTGAAATCTGATTTTCAGCAACCAGTCTTGCGAACAACCCAAAACTCTAAGTCAAAAAGCTGTAAGCTAGCTGCGTCTGCTATTTTTGAACAAGTATGACCATCATCCTTCTGTAGTATATTGCTTCAGTGCATCATTTCTCTTTGTGGTGGGGGGGAAGAGGCATTATAATAGTTAGAAGAATATAATACTTCATGCTTTCTTTTGTGAGATGTTTGTATTACTTACCCAATACAATGGTTTTAATTATGTACATGCTAGTTAAGTTTGAATGTAAAGCTTGTTGGTCTAATGGTTCCTAATGATATGCATTAGAGGACTGTGACATACTAATCTAGTCTCTAGTCTCACTCATTGCAGAGTGAATGTGTGTATATATATATATATCACTATACCATGAGGTAGAAAATACTTTTCCCTCAAGTTTAATGTTGTGACATCAGTATTCTGTGTTGGGCAACTGATATCTTGACACTTTTAAGAAAATTTTTAAAAAAAATTTTTTTAATAATTGCCCGAGACAGAATAATAGTCGTGCCCATGTTGCCAGGAAGCATGGGAACATTCCCATTGATCTCTTTTATTGCTCCCATTGTAATACACTGTTACTGTAAGTCAAAACTGCTAGTCCCCCAAATGACAAACAGAATATATTTTGGATGTTTTATATGAAAAGAATTAATCCTCCGAGCGGTCAGATAATTACCAATCTCACCTTCAAATAACTAAACACCATTTTATCCTATTTCTCTTCTGAAGTAGAAACCTATTTTTTCTGTCCAATTCTGAAATCACTATCTTCTCTTTAGTGAAGCCCCTCGTCTCCACAGACTGCCTTTTCTTGGCAGTTACCTGCTTGCTTGCCCATATCAGCTAGCATTATGTTCTTTTTGATGCCACTTAGGAGCTCTGTCTCAGGTTATAGCTGATCTTGCTTCTGCTCTAAGTGGAGCAGTGGGATTTGGAACGGGAGAAGACAAGAACTAATCAACAAGCTGGACAAGAACTGCAACTACATGTGTTATAAAATTGTGAAATAGATTCTATTCCACAGCATGGGCTCACAAAATCTTCAGAATTCAAAATTACTCTGATTTAAAGCCTTATGAAAAGTTAGGATAAGAAATTAAAAACTAATTATGATCTGTAACCTGGTCTTGGTATAAGCCCTGCAGCTGAAAGAGTTGATGTCATCACTTTATCTTGTGCTGATGGTTTAGATGGCAATAATGATACCATAGCTGCAGCTGAAAAGAAACAGAATGAGATACTGCTTTTTGATCAGCCAAAAGTGGAGATGAAGAAACTATGAAGAAAAAATATACCTCTACCCTTGACTGTTAACAAGGATGACTGTGCTTCCTCCTCTTGTACCTCTTCATGGACTTCAGATACTACCACAGCAGGTACGTTGGTCTGAAATGAGCATTTGATTTTCCTTGCTTTTCAGATACTGTGAAGTGTCTCAAAGTGAACAAGCCTTTCATAATTTTGAGGCTTTCCAATGTATTTCCTTCCCATGTACTCTGAATTCCGTGTTAAGAATATGGATTTTATCTTACCTGTCTGGTTTACCAGGAGGGTTATCAATCCTAAACCTGCGATATGTTTCTTTTTTTCATTTATTTATTTATTTATTTTTAATTTTTGTTTGGTTGGTTTTGGTTTTTTGCGGGTCTTTACAGAATTTTATTTGCAAACTTAAAAAAAATATAGGCTACATTTGATCTTAATTACTTTTCTTGGGCTTTATTAAAATTCAATTACACTAATAATTATGTTGTTTCACACTGTGGAACAAATATTACTGTATTGAGCACAGGAATAATAATCCTCATAACAATATCAAGAATAAATTATAGCCATTAGATAGCTGCCTACATGCACCATCAGAACTCTTACGTGGAACAACCAGCTCTGAGCACAGCAAGTTAAAGGAGCTATTTGTCCTGTCGAAAAGTAGGGGAAGAGTTATATCAGGCAAAAGAGGAGGGAGGTAGGGGGGGAGAGAGAGATACAGAGAGAGACATATCATAAAAGCCTGCTTAATTTTCATACTGCAGCTAATGGTTGAGGAAGACTGCTAAAACTCAGAGGACTTTCTGCTGTAGATACTCCAGGTGTCTGTGCTGAAAGTGATTGTCTATGAACATTGTTCTGAAGTATGGACTGTAAAGAACTTGAAGATACTAAATGGAAGGATGGTCCACTTATGCTTGCACCATTTCCATTACGGTTGTATATTAAAGTACCATGTTCATCTTCACAAAACTGGTTGACTAACTTGGACTCCAGAACTGTTTTGAAAAAAAGGCAAAATACTCATCATACTGAGAAATTAAATGTTTGTTTGTTTGTTTTCTGAATTTGGATTATTTATACATGTAAATAATAGGCATGTAATCCAGTACTCTTTTGGATTATTTATATGCATCAAAGATTATTGCAGGCTCTCTGGACTATGAATTCTGTCATAAATTTGCCAGCCCATAAGTCCTCTTACACTGGACTCACCCAAAGGTGTTCATCAGAGCTTAGTAACTGCTTGTTGGTAGTGGGAAAATAACTGCTTACCTTGCTCATGTCAATAACCCAATGAAAATGGTTTATTTCCCAATGGAAATGAATAAATAGAATTTACCCCAGTGGGTTTAATTCTGGTTTCCAGTCCAGCAGCAGTGCATGAGCACCTCCTGAGCTTGGAGATCTAGTTTAAGCAGCTATTTTCCTACACTGTAGGTGACGCCTCCCGTTGGTGTGAATCATTGTCCTGTAAAGTGACTCCTTAGGAGAATGAAATCTGTCTCTCTGGGTCCCTATTACTTGACACTTTGTAACTAATCTTGATCAGAATTGAAACATAGCAAATCCACAAACACAATGCTTCACCCCCTGCCCCCTTCTGAGTAGCATCAGACACAATGCAGAAAAAACCTGCAATGAATGCACCTGGAAGGGTGTTAAAGTCATCAATGAGATACATGTGTTCTGTGTTTGGATCTGAAGCAATCAGATTCAGCCCACACACAAACTCAGCCTGGGTTGGATCTGAAGTATTTACAACTCCTATTGCGTACATTTCAGTGTTTGCTGCATGAGCCTCTCTCTCAAACAACCATGTCTAGTTTTACAGCTTCTCTCTTGTCTGCTTGGCCACATGTTAGCACAATAGCTACTTTTTGCACTCCTGTTCAAGCACCAGAAAAACCTTCCTGGGTTCCTTTACGGATAGCAGTTCCTATGTGAGTGCCTTCTCCCATGTATCGCGTTTTTCTGATTGCTTGCTTAACGTCCTGTTGAGTTGTATGCATATTGAGACCAAATTCGAGCTGAACTTCTAAACTGTATAACACAAGGCCAATTCTGGTATCATTTCTGCCTACAATTACTTTGTCTACTAAAGCAGTTACAAAGTCCTTGATAATCTCAAAATTTTCTGGTCCCACACTCTCAGAGCTGTCAATCACAAATACGAGCTCCAGAGGAATTTCCTTACATTTAATAGTGCAACCTGCAAAGGAAAAATCAAAAAACAGATCAAGATGACTTGACTTGGTATCTTTTTGGAAAGAAGAATGTAATGAAGAAAAAATAGAATCTGAAATGAAAGATTTCCCAAGTACTTACCACATATCTCCTTAATTTAATTATATCTTCTCTCTGGATATGAAAAAAATAAATGTAAAATTATTTTACAATTTGCCTCTTTCAGATGAGGTATAACTTTGACACTACCAGTATAATGAACATCTGCATCCTACAGGGACTTATGACAACTCTTACTGTTTAACTTTCAAACCTGAGCTTTCAAGCTTGGAATGAGTCCCACATTTTACAATGAGCTATTTTATATGGCATGTAAGAATCGTTAACTTGACAACACAGTAACACCTCTATCTAGACTAATTAACTACAGTTATTTTACAGAATATTTTGTGATTATTTGGTTCTCATGAAAACTTAGAAGTCAAAACCTATTCATATTTTAGCATCTGAATATTGTGGATATTCCTGTTAAATGTATTTGGAGTGGAGAAATAGAACCAACTTGAGGAAGCATATTGCTTGTAGTGAGCTGGCATGTGACAGGAAGTGCCAACACAGAGTGGAATTGGGATCTGTGAACCCTAGTGTACCTGGCCCGCTGCATCATCCAGCTTTCAGCAACAACAACAAAAAAAAGCTGCTGCCTTCAGAGCTGTCTGTTCAGACAAGTGATAGCTTCTGTGAAACACAGTGTTTTTCAGCATTGGAGCCATCCTTTGTTATATTTCTTGAAGTGTATTGCAGGACTCATTTGGCATTGAGTCAGTCTTTCAAATACAGCTTTTTGCTTCTGCTGCTCAGCTTCCATCATAAACCTCAGCAGTGTTTATGTACTCCCTGACATGCTTTATTGAATTTGGGTCTAGTGCAGTTCAGGCTTACCAGAAATATAATAGGCCATGACAGGTTTGAAGATCTTTGCTCTTTAGACTCTTAAATACTTTAAAAAAACCCCAACTTTTCTGCAGCCTGGGTCACCTAATACTAACTGTAAAAGAACACGTAGCAGAAAAATACCCCAAATCACCAGAAACGTTAACTTCCATTTCAGCATTAAGCAGGTGACAAAAAGGCAGAAACTTTTGTGTGGTTTCTTTCTATTTTTTTACTAAGACCACTTCTAGTCAGTTCTTTCCAAAATAATGAACATAGGATACATTTCATCTGATAGCATCTTACATTGCCTGTATCTTGCTGTACTGAGATTTAAATAATGGAATTTACTTAACAGTAAGTAAAGCCTTGCTCTCCCTTTGGTCCAGTTTTGCCCTGTAACAGTGATTGTTAATTAAGCCACTGCAATTAGTTAGTAACATTGTAATTCAGAATATGACTTCATCAATACCATTATTAGAATAATATTTGGTCAATAAGAACTTTGGCTAGAAAAAGTAGTGTTCTTGTGATACGACCTTGTGCATACTATATTTACAACCTCCTAAGGTGGTGAGGTCTTTATGGGGATTGAATGACCTCAAGTCTCCCACTAGATCACTGATTGTCAGTTCACATTAGAAAGGAAGACTCTCTGCAAACCTTCCCTGTCTACCATGTTGTGTTTGTTTCCTTTCTCAAGAGAAAGACATTCTGCAATGATCAGAATTCTACACTCTGGAATGATCAGAATTCTGCTTAGTCATATGAGTGTCGGGGCAAGAATGGCAATGGTGTTTATGTATCCCTACTTAATAGTATGCAAGTGTCAGAATAGAGGGGACTACAATTTGCTTTCCAGATTTTGGGGACCAGCCCACCAGCGGAAGTTACCATTTTGTCTCGCTTCATCTGTTCATCAGCTTTGAGGACAAGTCTGGCTACAGTTACTTGGTAGCCGTAGAATAGAATTGCATAATCTTGCCTTAATATATGGCAATTGTCCTTCACTGCCTTTAAGAAAAAAACGTATCTATGAGAAGTGAGGTATTCAGCATGAAAATTACTTCTTTATGCTTTTAAAGGTTTTCATATTTTCAATTTCTTAAGTATTTCTGATTGTATGTAGTTAAATAGCAGGAAGAACGCACAACCCAACTTCATTTTTAAGGATGATAAACCTGAGTTACAGGTTCTCCAGATAAACCAGGGTCACCCACATCACCTTTTTCTCCTTTTTTCCCCTTTTCACCTATAGCTCCTCGATCTCCCTTTAAAAACCATGTTGGTAAGCAGACAGAAAGTTTAAGTCAGTTTTTTATTATACTTTTCACATTTCTCCCTAGCTGCTTTTGTCGAGTTCAGCCTCTGACATGAGTTAGGAATCTTAGACATCATTTATATCAATTGGTATTTGTCAGTTTAATTGTAGTAATAACTTGTAGTATTGGCTAAGCATTTTTATGGGAAAAAATAGCTGAAGCAGTTTGAACAATGAACCATCTCAAACAAGTACATGCAGACAGAGGAGTTTCATGGGATGAAATGATGGCATGATGGAAATTTTTATCTGTCTCTGAGAAAGATAACAGTAGGGAAATTGAGAAGAAAGGCAAGGATGTAGATGGATTTAATAATGGGAATAACACTCTGAGAAAACTTTTTGCCCAGAAATGGTATTTGGAATAGCAAACATATGAATTAATGCCTCCTGGCTTGATTTTTTGTACGCTATGGGACTTTGTACAGCTTTTCTGAGCTGATGTGATCTCAAACTGATTCCAATCCACAATTCTCATTTTCTTAATATTGATGTAGTACACAATTTTGCTTTGTGAGTGGGTAAAATAAAGGTAGTGATATTAAATGTAATATCTGTATTTGTTCTAATTGCGGTAGAAGATAAGCCTCATGACATTAAAATAAGCAACACTGAATTAGATGCTTCTATAAAATATTAAAACAGTCACATGAATGACTGGAATATTCCCAAATCTCACTTCCTTTTCACAGAATTCACATGCCTTCAGGGAGAGTTGACTGTAATGAGCATTTTCAGTGTGTTGGCTTTGGTCTAGGACATTATCTCTGAATTAGATATCATACCTTCTGTCACAAAAGCCCTTCTCCAGGGGGGCCTCCTGGTCCTGGCATTCCCTGAATTCCTTGTTCCCCCTAATAATAATCCAGGTAGTTGTATTAACCCCTTGTAATCATGAGGCATTAATTTTCAAGGCTCAAAGAGAAAGTGCTTCAAGCTGCATTTTAACAAGTGTCTAGAGGCACTTGAGACAATGTCATAGCAAGCTTATATTTGTCAAATACTTCATCAATACGTCTGCTCTAAAGATATAAAATATTGAAAAAAACCCATGATCAATATTTTGCTCTAATTTTCTGTTCCCTCTTTCTATCCCATTTTATTCCTCCTCATACCCCTTTCTTATTTCTGTCTTTTGAGTCTGTCTCACCTGATCTATCCTTTGGGTAAATATAAATACTACACATAGGTTCAGGATGGAGACTCTTTCTCTACCATAGTGCATGTAATTACTTCAGACTCTGTCTATGGGCATAAGAGTTGGGGAAAAGGGAATTTTTAATGTGGAATTTTTAATTCTCTAAGGCTATCTTTCACTAATAAAAGATGCCCGTTTCCTCCTCCCTCAGTACACACACCCTTGGGCTTGCTGTTTGCCCCAGTAGAGACAGAAAATACTTTGTAGGTGCTCATGTTATCCTTCTCATTTTCTAGCCTGAGGTTCTCCTGATCACTCAATGCAGTTTAAATATTGAAGACACTGAGTCTTTTTACCTTAATTTCTTGAATACCTTCACCAGGAGGTCCCAGAGAGCCAGGTGGCCCTGAGCGTCCTATGGGTCCCTAGAGAGAAAACCTGCATGTGTTAAATACAATATTCATAATAAAAGAACCACAATGAATTGTTACACCACCGTGCAATTTCCTGGGAAATTTCTGCTATCAAATTGATGTCTTTTTATAAGTAGTGAGGATAAGATTGCCCTAGCTGACAAAGACTGTTTTTATACTTTATCTGATTACTAAAATCCAGTTTATACTTCAAAGGGGTCACTCAGGGCTTAATGCTTATTGAACATGAATCAACTTGCTGATAGAGATATACACTGCATTGAAGGATAGATACTACTAGTGGGATGTTTGGGACTGAATATTTAAGAGAGGATTATTATTGTTGTTTTATCTTTCATCACTGTTCAGCTTACACAGTAAGACCTATAGACATACATACTGATGTGGCAGTGCAAATAAACTTGTTGCTTGTTTTTTTGTAGCGAAGAATTGCAAGCTATTTTTTGAAAGAACTCTAGAGAAAATGTTTCAGTTCCGTAAGTTATTCATGAGAAGCAATCAAACCCCACATAGTACAATATTAATTTTATACCTATGTTGCTCTTCCAGTATCCCTGCATGACTTTCTCAATTTCCTCATTTGTAAGGACCCTGTGCACACAACAGTTCCTGGGACTAGCACTGGTTGGGGAAGTGCTTCACCACTGCTTTGCTCTGGACCTGGGCTTCCTGCCAGCATGAACTGAATCTTTGGGACCAATAAGCCACATTGTCCAGGAAATACATTATTATGTTGCAAAATATTTACATTTGACCTTGTTCAGTTTGTTTACATTTACATTCTAAAAGAGTTCTTTTGTATTAACAGATTTCTGAAGCTGAGCTGTAGGAGCGTAAGAGTTTTCCTTTTGGGAGTTTTCATAGTGAAAATTGCTTTTTAGAGTTACAGTTATTTTCAGGCCTTTGTTGTAGTGTATATTATAATTACACAAAGAATCCATTTTGCAGGAATTGGTCATCATATTGGGCATTAGATCATTATTGGTATAAGAGGAATTAATTCTAGAACTCAACAGTATGCCTGTAGCTGGGACAGCATTATAGGCAAAACAGGCTAAGTGCCGCCCAGGCCATTAATTCTCACCAGAGCTAGGTCCCAAGAAGTTTTTGCTGCTCAGCTGCACCTGATGTTTGCCAGAGCTAAATGTTTTGTCACTGATCGTCACTGCAAGATTATCACTTTATGATTTATCACATGCAATAGGAAGAAGGCCATGGTTTATGGCTAGACACCAGAAACTTTTTTTTTTTTTTTTTCTATAAAAGAAAGACACTATATCCCTCAGTTATCTTATTTGTCAGATTACTTTCTTTCTGGTGAAGAAGGGAGACATGTAGATGTGTGTGCACGGTCACACATTTTTATATTATGCTTTTTTTCCTTTTTGAGAAAATACACAATGGAAGACACTATTGTTTAAATGGCTTACTTTTGGTCCTGGCAGGCCTTCTCCTGGGGGACCTCAGAGACCAATTGGTCCTCTACTACTGGGATCACCCTGAAAGTTGAAACTTTACAAAACAAGTAGTGAATACTAGAGTTTAATTAATCTCTAGAATTCCTAGCATCTGTTGTGCTCAAATGGGACAAAGAGAAGAATTATTGAACAGAACAGTGCATGTCTAAACAATGGTAACCTGTGAATACTGCAGACAGGACAAGAAAGTTATTTGAGAGAAACAGTGGCTAGTGGTTTAAATACATTCAAGACATATACAGTCAATTATGCAATTGTTACACAGAAATTACAGTTTCCGTATCATAAAATGAACTCCAGGTTCCCCAAACAAAACAAAAACAAAAAAACACCCACAACATGTTTTTCCTTGCTGTCTGACAGTTGAATCAGCCTCTCTGTTCATGTTGGCACTGTTCTATCTTTTTTCCTTTCAGTGCCTTCAGACAGGTAGTGGTTTGAGATGACTGGAAAAAAGATGTATGCCCTTTTAAGAGATGTTTAAAGCCTTTAAATAGCTGTAGCAAATGCTTCTGATTGCCTGTATAATTCCAGTAATCCTGCAGTCAGGATCAGGATAACTTCTGAAGTGAAGCTTGAATATCTATGTGATCTACCTTTTATATACTGGTAGGCATGTTAAAGCTAGATTAAGAAGGCATTCTCACTGTGACCTATGGGAAGGAATTACAGATGCATGAAGTACATACTTGCATTTACTTTTCTAAAACTTAAGGTCTGTACCTTTAGGTCCTGGTAGTCCAACTCCATCTGGGCCTTCTTTAGCAGGAATCCCAGGAAGGCCTGGCAACCCCTGAAATGACATGCGCAGACAGAATATTCGTTGAATTTGCAGCTATATTGACTATATGCTTTTGTTAACATTAATGTGGTTGTATCTTGAATATATTGGCTATTAGAGGAATCTGTGTGGTCTACAGTTATTTAAATACTACTACGATAGGCCGGAAGTGGTGTCAGTGGCACTGGCACGTGTTGCACCTTGTGCCAGAGGCTTGCATGTCTGAAGACAGAGGGGTCTGATCCAGAGAGGCAGGTGCAGAGGCAGTTCTGTGTCAGACTGCACAAAAATATCAGCTAGTATTGAATTCCAATTTCCATTCTGACATTCCTTAATTTTTATTCCTCAGTGTGGCATTTGCATGCACTTATTGGTGTCTTTAGCACAGGTAAATGCTAGTATGTCACCAAACTCCCCAACTCTAGTCAGCAGTCTTCCTGGGACTTCCTCACTGCACAGGCATGTATCTTCCAGGGCTGGTGGAGCACACTGTTGAGCAGACTAGATGCGTGGGCCAGTGCTGCATACATGAGTGAGGAAAAGAGATGAAGGAGTCTTTTCTCTTTTTATCCTTTTTGCAGATCTTCCCTAGCATGTGAGCCATGGAGACTAATCACTTTGGTGTAGAAGCTATTTGTTTGAAGTTCACATAAAAAATATTGTCTATAAACTTACAGGTGGTCCAGGATAAACATCTCCTTTTGGCCCAAGAGGCCTGGGGGTCCTGGAATACCTCAGTCACCCTGGTGAAGGCAGAAAAAACAGCTGAGGTGAATGCCAGTATAATTCCTAGCAGGAAATTTTCGATCAAACTTCTTTGGCAAATATATTGTAACTTGATTTTATCTGTTTATCTGCTAATGTATTTTACTGTGTGAATGATCATTGTAGGTTATTAATTGTGGACTAAATCTGGCATGTTTAAAAGCACTGAGGATTTACAGGACCTTTCACATCTTAGTCACTAATTTGAATCTTTTCTAAGAGCTCTGCCTTTTGCCATTTGGAGCCGATGTATAAGGAAGAATGACTTTGATTGCACCACATATTTTTATCATGATTACTATTATTCCACCTTTGGGGGAATGAGCCCAGATT